GGTCCAACCACTTGGAGCCTAGTCCTCTACCTTGGCTTCACTCACCAAGGATTTCCTCCACACTCTCCACTAACAAAAACAATGGTGGCTTAAAGGAGCCACTCAATCCTTTACAAGAAGAAGGGTTTCTCTCAAATCTCACCCCCTTTACACTTTAACCCCAAAGATCCTCTCTACAGATCACTCTTGAAGGAATCAACACATCCCCAAGATCACTCACTAATAGCATAAGAAGAGGATTACAAACAAAGATCTCTCAAAGATCAAAATCTTAAGTTAAAGCACAAGTTGGTAGTAAAGATATTCAATACAATATTCTCTAAACCTCTTCAGATCTGTTACCAACCATATTTATAGCCCCTTGCTCGAAAATAGCCGTTTCTAGCCGTTGGGGGTCATTAAATGCTCTGCAGGATGCAAACCTCGAGCTGCAGAATTGTCAGGAGAGCAGGCTTAACTTTCTAGAGCCGGCTTAACTCTCTAGAGCCGGCTCTACAAAGCCGGCTTACACTTTCAAAGCGGGCTATCCGGGATTGCAGGACATTCTGTTTTCCTCGAGAGCCGGCGGTAAGACTTTGAGCCGGCTTTGGAACTCCAACTTTAAATACATTAAATATTCTTCAAAAGACTCGACCATTGTGCATTAAATGCACCCTCACAGCCAGCTGCAAAGGCAGAGCCGACTTTGCGTCTTTTCTTCGCACGCGCCAAACAACGGTCTTCAAATTTTTGCCTGTAGAGCCGGCTGCAGCTTCTAAAGCCGGCTCTCTGCACTTCCATTTCACCAGAGCCGGCTGCACTTTACCAGAGCCGGCTCTCTGCACATTGAATCCTTTTGGTCTATTTTTAGTGCCATCCAAGTTTACTTGCAATCTTTTAGCAACTTAACTACACACTTAAATAAACCAATTAGTCACTCAAATGTGTTTTGTAATCATCAAAATCATAGGTACAACACAAAGGAGTTCGCTATGCAAAGAGGACTAAGGCAAGGTGATCCCCTTGCTCCTTTCTTGTTTCTTATTGTAACGGAAGGACTTAATGGCATCATCTCGTCGGCGGTTGAGAAAGAACTATTCGAAGGAGTCACAATTGGAGGAGGGGGTATTAATATCTCCCATTTACAGTTTGCAGACGACACCCTGATATTCGGGACAGCAACAGAAGAAAATGTATGGACGACAAAATGCATTATGAGGGCCTTCGAACTTGTCTCCGGTTTGAAAATTAATTACGGTAAAAGCTCCTTTATTGGAATCAATGTTGACAATCTATGGGAAAAGGAAATGACATGGCTAGTGAATTGCAAATCAGGGTCCTTGCTGTGTAAATATCTAGGTATCCCCTTAGGAGCAGACCCGAGAAGGCTTGATACATGGAAGCCACTCATCGACTCTGTTAAAAGAAAATTATCATCATGGAGGGGGCGCTACCTATCTTTTGGAGGAAGAATCACTCTCATCAACTCTGTGTTGTCCAGTCTTCCAGTGTTTCTAATGTCCTTTTATCGCCTACCAAAAAGTGTCATAAGGGAAATAGACAAAATTAGGAGGCGATTTCTATGGGGGGGAGTAGGGGAGAGGAAAAAAGTCGCATGGGTAGCATGGGAGAATATTTGTCTGAACAAGTTCGAAGGGGGCTTGGGTATTAAAAATCTGTCATGCTTCAATAATCATTACTAAGAAAATGGTGGGGAAGATTGCTTATAGAGAAGGGGGGGTTGTGGAAGAGAGTCCTAGCTGAAAAATATGGGATTAAGGAAGGGTATTGGCTTACTTGCTTAAAGGAGGGCAGTCCCCAAGGTTCCAAATGGTGGAGGGATGTTTGCAAAATAGATCAAGGGGAGGGAATAAAGAATAATTGGGTGAGCTTAGGGTTTGAAGCAAAATTGGGGGACGGTGGAACCTTGAAATTTTGGTCGGATGTATGGGTAGGAGGGAGTGCACTCTCTAACAAATTCCCTCGTTTGTTTGCATTATCCACAGGCCAAAATGCAACTGTCAAAGATATGGGAACCTGGAGGAATAGCAGCTGGCACTGGGAATTACCATGGAGGCGCCAACTTCGCTCATGGGAGGAGGACCTAGAAAGAGAGCTTCTAGAGACAATCAAAACTGCTCACCCAATACAGAACAAAGAAGATCAATGGAGATGGCATCTCAATCCCTCAGGAATTTATTCAACCAAGTCTGCATACTCTCAACTCTCAAAGGGCGTATCAAGACATGCAGGAGACTTCAAGAGGGTATGGAAAGCCCCCATTCCACCTAAAGTAAGTGCATTCTGTTGGCAACTGCTTCATAGGAAACTTCCTACAAAAGATAATCTAGCTTCTCACGGAATTTTAAAGGACATCTCAAGTTTAAATTGCTGCTGGTGTGATACATTACTTGAGTCTCCTGACCATATATTTTTTCTTTGTAACTTGGCTTTCTCTTTGTGGATGAAATGCTATAAGTGGTGGGGAGTGAATTATGTTATGAGTAACTCCTGCAGGATGGTTTTAGAACAACACAAATGGATTGGGGGCAATAAATTAATAGATAGAGGATGGAATATCATCTAGTTTGCAGTGGTATGGACTCTATGGCTGGGAAGGAATGACTTGATTTTTAACAAAAAGGAGGCAAAGGCCGACTATTTCTTTGAGCTAGTTCAAACTCGATCTTTCTACTGGGCTAAGCATATAGTAGGAATGGACGGGATTTCTCTATCTGCTTGGTGCGAGAACCCAACCAACTGTTTAAAGAACAATTTCAATTAGAAAGACAGTGTTTGAACTAGACTTTTTTGGATCTTACTCTGTTTTTGCTCTGTTACAGTAGCCGGCAGGATATTTTTTGAAACCTACTGTTTTGCTAGCTGTGTAAGTTTGGGTTGGAATACCCCTACTATTCCAATATTAATATATCATTTGCTTTTCAAAAAAAAAAAAAAAACAGCCATCCTAAAATCTTCCCTTGATCTCGTTGGAATTGCTTATGATAATATGAAGGAAAATAATTGATACACATTTAGTTTAATTTTTTTTTTTGACATATATTTAGTTTAATTATTAAATGTATAATATAAATATAATTGATTTAACTGATTTTTATATTTTATGTGCATGATTATATGTATTTAAATTTGTTTGTTCTTCCCTTGATCTCGTTGGAATTGCTTATGATAATATGAAGAAAAATAATTGATACACATTTAGTTTAATTTTTTTTTTTGACATATATTTAGTTTAATTATTAAATGTATAATATAAATATAATTGATTTAACTTATTTTTATATTTTATGTGCATGATTATATGTATTTAAATTTGTTTGTCTTTTATTTTAGATTAATAATAATAATAATAATAATATTTTAATAAATATATTATACAATGTATCAAACTGAGTATGTACTGAAGACATTATCTTTGTCTTGACATGCTATATTAGATGAGAAGACCATGATCCTGCTAAAATTGCGTCAGGGTATATTTACTTCATCTGTGTATAACTTGTACATAGTTGAGTTTATGCCCTATGTCTATGGATGGTTGAGATGACATTACCTTTTTATTTTTTGATCTACGTACAGGTAGGGGAGGGGAAGGCTGGGTTGGGGTTCATACCTAGGAGTACCATCCAAGGGGGTAAGTGGACTCTTACCGCTTGCTCCATGAACCTCGGTGGTACTAAATAAAACATCATTATCTACGCTGTTGGAATGTAATATCACAAGTACTTACAAATGAAAATGGCTGCCAAGGAAATGGCGTAAACAGCCCATGCGCAGCATTTGAGCCAGAAAGGAAATGGAATCGTGATGGCCGTGTAGAATGCCGTAACCATGAACAACCCTGCAAGGTGGTCGAGTACCCTTTCTGTCCCGGGAAACCTGGAACCAATGAATTTGCTGACACAGAGAGAAGTGAAGGCGAGTGAAATAGCCAGAGAAAGAAAGTTGAATGGCAAAGGGAGGGAACCTTTTTCCACAAACAGTACGGCTATTTCAACGGACGATCCCAAGCAGAAAGCTACCATTATTTTCTCCCACCCTAAAATCTGTTTATCCTCCATGGCTGCTGCAGGTTCTCCCAGTTCGAGGTCGACATCAGGAGGTGGTGAAGATGATTGCAGTTTTGGTGCAAATAGTGCCTGAAATTTGGAGAGAACAGATGTAGGGTTGGATTTTCCATTTGCCGAGGCCATTACCTCGGCTCCGCTTTCGTCTGAAATCTGAATGCATGGTGAATGCGATATATAGTCGACCATAGCCAACAAATCAAACATTGAAGTAGCCAGGAAACAATTGAAAGTAAATGCTTGGGCGGATTTTAGTCAATGGGCTCATCTCGTGGTCGGTTCCGCTCGGACAGGGGCGGTGCTACGTAGGAACGTATGTTAGGTATGTTATTATTATTATTACTATTATTATCTTATAATTAAGATATTGACATGGTAGAAAATCATGGGTTGGTAATTAAAATATCAAAATTTTTTATAAAATAATTTATATATTTTTAATAAATTAATATATAAAAAAAT